GAAGCGAAGAGATGAGAAAGAAAGAGAAGCTCTCGCCTTAACTCATTGTGGAAGTTCGTTGTAAATGGTTTTTGCTATATCGAACTACTTGCTACACCGAACTGATCGCAACGTTTCCTGCTGTTCTTTATAAACGGGGTTGACTATATATCTTCAATAATAAGGTAAATAAAACATGCTAAAAAAATAGACAAAACGAACGTACAGCTAGGTAGCGCCGAGCGCCAGGCGGCGCTACCTAGCTGTACGTGCGTGTTGTGAGGGGAAGCATCGGGCATGAACACATCTTGGAGACAAGCTGACAGGCATAGTGTAGCATATAGAGGAGCAGCGCCTCCTATATTCGCGACTCCAGCGACCTATAGGGGGCGCCACCACCGAACAAACATGGCGGCTGAGTCCAGGTCGCGTCGGCTTGGCCGGGCCGCCTGAACAGGTGGCGCGTTCAATTTAACAGATTTTCTTTTGCTTAATGCCCAATTTTATAGCTATTTGAACTGAGACGGTTAAGTGTAGCCGGTGCACATAAACTCGCAGAGCATAGTTTTGCTTTCCCGGTGCTTCTTGTTCTTTTCATGTCAAACTGTCGTTTCGGAGATTTCGTTCAAAACCGAAACTATATGGGCTCTGGAGAGTCGGTAATATACTAATCAGTTTTGATCATCTAAGAAAAGCGGCAATGACCACAGAATTCTTCCGCCGACAGTAATTTTCAGCCAACTCGCATGCCTCGACCATCCGACTAATCTGTCCGCAAGATCGAGCTTTTGTGCGTATCCGCATTTAAGAAACAGCTCCAGTCGTCTGCTCGGTCAACAACACAGGCTGCACGAAAATTACGAAAATTAAGCAAGCGCTTCTTGAGCCAAAGATCATGTTAACCTGCCGGCACCCCACTAAGCAGCTGATACTCGTATTTCAATTCAGGTTTTGTAGCAATCGAGAAGTCATTTTGACGAGCGGGTTATGTATTATATTACGTACTATGGTCCCACTAAAGCGATATTAGTATATTCTTCGGGATGAAATATGAGCTTAGTTGACTAGCTATTAGGTGAACTGCTGAATAAAAGTATATTTGACAGACAGAGAGATACTCCTTAAACTTAGCCAAATAGTTCTAACCGGCAGCACGGAGACAAACTGAAGAGAGTCTTCATCGGAGATTCACGCGGAACCTCTCTGCATTGAACTCTGCTTCGAATCCTGAACGGAGAAAATGAGCATTTTTTGTGGCCGGTCAACCTGACCAATCTAGACGTATATTGCTGCTGGCTTCGACGGAGGTATAATATAAATATTGGAGGCACGATAGATAAAAAAAAAAAATGCCGTCACAGCTTCTAACGTTGCGAGACTCGTCCCCCCACCTTTTGAAAACAGATAACTTCCCTCATTCATCATTTGCAGCGAGCAGGTTTTCCTGAATCAAGTAATCAGCGGAACTCCTCCAGTGCGGTCCAGTGGCTTTTTCGGCGAAAAGCAGCCAAGATGAATAGCCAACGCACCGACCGGCGTGGTCGGATCAAACTTGAAGCTAACCGAACACAACCAAACACAAGAAAAGCAGCTATTGAACCTTCCCATTCACTTGACTGCAACATGGATGTTCCCTCCAGTGAAATGCCTCGTCTGTCGTCCTCAGTCCACGGCTCTACATGCTTATAAGGAAATCACTTATCAGTTACAAAGTATTCGTCACTTTGAATGTGATTCGAGACACACAAGAAATCAAAACGTTTTTCCGCGATTCCTCCCCATCCAATAAATCGAAAGCTCGCGACCGTGTGTTGTGGAGTAAACGGGCTTTCAAACACGTGATGGAAGGAAACAATCTACTGAGGCTTCACCACACTAATGAACACTCAGGCAAACTTGAGAATATTTCGGACCTTCGTCAAATTACGTGGTTCGCCACTGAGCCTTCCCATTCACTTGACTGCAACATTGATGTTCCCTCCAGTGAAATGCCTCGTCTGTCGTCCTCAGTCCACGGTTCTACATGCTTATAAGGAAATCACTTATCAGTTACAAAGTATTCGTCACTTTGAATGTGATTCGAGACACACAAGAAATCAAAACGTTTTTCCGCGATTCCTCCCCATCCAAGAAATCGAAAGCTCGCGACCGTGTGTTGTGGAGTAAACGGGCTTTCAAACACGTGATGGAAGGAAACAATCTACTGAGGCTTCACCACACTAATGAACACTCAGGCAAACTTGAGAATATTTCGGACCTTCGTCAAATTACGTGGTTCGCCACCGCGCAGACAACACGTGTCCGCGATAGCCACAAGAGACGCGGAGGGGCGCGGAGCGACCTGGACCGGCTGGTTCCCGGTTTTCCCGCTTGGTGGCGTCCGTTTCGCTGGAGTCGCGAATAAGTTACACTATGCCTGTCAGCTTCTCTCCAAGAGGTGTCCAGGCCCGATGCTTCACCTCACAACACGCACGTACGGCTAGGTAGCGCCGCCTGGCGGACGTTCGTTTTAGAGCGCAGCTCTTAGGGGCCCGTTTCCAGCCTGAGCGGCGTCGCCGTCGGCGTCGGCGTCGGCGTCGGCGTCGGCGTAACCGCGCCCCTCCCTCTCCTCCTCCTCCCCCTCCTCCTCCTCTTCCCCTCCTTCTCCTCCTCCCCTCATTTAGTATGGTCCGGGCGGGTCACGTGACCTCGGGGGAAGGGGGTCACATGACCCGTTTCCAGCCTGTGCGGCGTCGGCGTTGGCGTCGGCGTCGCCCCTCCCCCTCCTCCTCCTCCCCGCTCCTCCTCCTCCCCCCTCCTCCCCCGCCCAGGTCACGTGACCCCGGGGGGTGACTCCCCTCCCCCCGCCGAAGTCACGTGACGGCCCGCCCAAGGTCATGTGATCCCGTCCCCTCGAGGTCACGTGACCCCCCGGACCTCTGCCCTCCTCCTCCTCCCCCTCCTCCTCCTCCCCTCATTGTCTGGTTCGGGGGGGTCACGTGACCTCGGGGGGAGGGGGTCACATGACTTCAGCGGCGAGGAGGAAAGCAGTACGAAGGTGGAGGAGGGGGGGAGGAGAGACGAGGAGGCGGAGGTGAGGGGAGGGGAGGAGCTTGAAGGACGAGGAGGTGGTAAAGGAGAGGGAGGGGGAGCAGGAGGGGAGGAGGACTAGCAGGCATGATCACGAGGGAGGAGGAGGAATATACCCTCCACTCCTCCTCCTCAAGAGCTGCGCTCCAATTCGGCGTTACAGGAAGTTGTAAACGGCTTTCACTTTTTTTCTATTTTTCTAGCATGTTGTATTTACATTATTATTGAAGATATATCTTATATATGTTTTTTTTTCTTTTAACAACATGTGGAACACTGTTCTGGATGTGACCGCCCTGATTCAAACGAGCTTCGCTGAGACAAAATACGAAACTTCGAAACAAGCGTACGGCCAGGCGGCCAGGCTTCGCTTTCGCAGCGCGAACGCGGAGAACGCTTTGCCGCTTGACCGTCTGCTTTGGCGGCAGTTTGGGGCTTTGGCGGTCACCCTGAATCGCGCGCATAGAAATAGTTGGCTCCGGGTCGTGAGCGGGTGAAAAGGTAGAAAAATCAGAAGTAATAGACCCTTCCCGAAATTCAGTCTGGCCACTTTGATCACTATCATCATCATCGGAAAAATGGCATATGTGCCATACCAATGGCGGCTTTCTATTTAGTGATGAAGGAACATGGTTGAAGATACTCCTAAGCTGAGGATTCGAGGCCTATACATTCTAGACGTTAGCACGTTGCGAAACCGGAATTGAATGCAAGCGCTGCGTAAGTGTTCATTTCTCTAATTCGAGCCCAGTGAATCTGTTTGTGGCACAAAATCGACTTCGAAACCCCTTGACTTATAGAACTTTATCAAGGCGTCTGTCTGGGTTGGCGCTTCGTTCTGACTGGTTGCATCGTTGTGGGAATCGAGACTGGATGAGATGATTCAGAAAAACCTGTATAGCGAAAAGTTTATTCTCGTCTGCCGTTGACATGCAAAAGTGACGGTGCCCGATAAAATACTGCAGGCTACGGGTTCATTGCCGCCATTCGTATGGCAAAAGTTAAACCGCCATTTCAGCCACCAGATGGCGCTGAATTTCGGAAAGGGTCTATATAACGTTGGAAAACGGCAAGCTGGTCCCGAGCTGTCAGTCAAAAACATTTAGATTTCTTGCTGTCGGTGCTGCTGGGGCGACATCATTGAACCTCCTACGGAAGAGATGGTTGGCTTCACTACACGGCAGGTTTGTACGCCTAGGCGGCTCCACCCCACGGCAACCACACGTACTATTTGCCCTCTCCCTTCCGCTTGCCAGTGCTCAGAGCTGACAGGCATAGCGTAACTTATATAGGAGGCACTGATCCTGGATTTAAGACATGGCAGCTGGTTTGTGGCGGTTGACGCGGTGGACAAAAGTGGTTCTAAAGTGTGTTTCAGGCTGCAACTGTGTAACAATGACCAGAGAATTATCTTCAATTGTGCCAAGGATACGAAATATTACCATGATAAGTGCTTATTGACCCTTATGTTTAAATACGCTCTCGACTAACAGTGAGTGTTAGCCCTAACCAGGCAAAGCGGGGATCGCGGGGACATGTCACTTAAGTAGCTGGTATGTTTTGCACGACTCGTGTTTGATCTGATAAACGTACACGATCGAAAGTATTTAGTTTGGAAGATTACTGAAACGTGTGCCCAAAGTGTAAATATTTGTATTTTCATTCTTCGCCATGAAGCGGAGACCAGTCGTTGCAATCGATGTTTTGATTAGCGGCAACGTCCGATTGCAATGATCAGCTGATTCTTAACGTCTGCTACTGGAACTTTTATTGTGGCAGACATCTCGCTTTAAAAATAAACTATTTAAACATGCTTTAACGTTCTTGTGTATTGCATTAGTTGTATATTTGATATCATATTTCTATTTAATAAGATTTTCAGCCCCACGATTTACATTTGAGCCGTTTTAGCAGGTGCTACCTCAAAAAATGAATGGTTGCTGTACGGCAACATGTTCGCCGATTCGACTTTTTTTTTTTTTTTTTTTGGTGAGGATAGTGACCAGGAAGATTACCAAGATTCCATCGATGTTCGTTGGACCCAGGGCCGCTGCAGATCACGGCAGGTACGGCCGAGGGACGACCCGTTCTACCGGTACGATGACGTAGATTTTATCACGCGATTCCGACTCTCCAAGAATGTTACCATCCGGCTGCTGAGCCGAATCGAACACGTCACCGCCTTCGACGGCCTTCGAAACTGCCGACTGTCGCCCATCAACCAGCTCCTGGTCGCTCTTCAAATCTAAGCGACAGGCACCTTCCAGGCAGTTTTGGCCGACCTGTGGGATGTGCACAAGTCAACTGTGCGTCAAGTCGTCAAGCGGGTCACACACGCCATTGCTGCGCTGGCAAGGGTCTTCATCTCTTTTCCCACAACCGCGGCGGAACGCAGGATTGTTTCCGAAGGATTCTACAGCATGCATCGATTCCCAGGCGTTGTTGGAGCAATCGACTGCACGCACGTCCCCATCCAGTTGCCTGGAGGTGATCATGCCGGACTGTATCGGAACCGGACAGGATATTTTTCCATTAATGTGCAGAGAGTGTCAGACCATCTACTCTGCATCCGCAACATTGTGGTCCGGTGGCCAGGCTCGGTGAACGCAAGCACAATCTTTGGCAACAGTGCTTTAAAAGCACTGTTTGAGAGTGGACAGATGAATGAGAGCATCTTGCTGGGAGATGGAGGCTATGCCTGCTCCTGGTACCTCTTCACACCAGTTGCTGCTCCGAAGACGCCAGCTGAGACAGCCTACAACCGAGCCCACATACCCACACGCAGTACTGTTGAAAGGCAGTACGGCGTATGGAAGCGCCGCTTCCCCGCTTTGGAGTTTGGACTCCGCATCAAGCTGGAGACTGCATTGTTCAGCATCATGGCCATGGCAGTGGTCCACAATTCCTGGCGCTACAGCTGGGTGAAGCCGAACCACCCGTAGACTTGAGGTTGGCAAGTCGTCGACGTGTCTTCTCAGATGTAGTAGTCGAGCATGTTCCTGAGCACCATGGCAGGACCAGTGCAAGATCGCCACTCATCGACCAGGTGTTTGCCAGGCGAGCCCGTGTAGCGAGGCGAAGGGAGTAAAACAGAACAAATGGTGCTCTCTTCTGACAAGTTCCTGCTGAAGGAAGACGCCATAGCAGGAGCTGGCACAGCAGATGCCTTCCACTGTGTTGGAGCAGACAGAGTTCTCTTATGTACTCGACTGCACACAAAGCCATGTGTGAACATTTCTGTTTTGTTTACATGTTAAAGGGCAGTTGCCCAATTCTTGTCTCAGTTCTTTCTTTTGGTGCGCTACTGCTATGCTGTGGCACCTTCCCACACCTTGGGCGGAAAAAAGACAGCTGTACGTGCAGCACTGATAATTAGCGTAGCACAGTAACCATGTCGATGGTGCTAAGTCAAAAGCGCAATTTGGGAGAGCTGGTTCGTGCCTATAAGACTCAGAATACAAAAGGCGTCAACGTGAAAGGCAGCAACGAGAAGATACGGGGTCGTTTGTCACGAACTTTATGTAATGCACACTTTTCCAGGCGTCATCGAAGCGGTTGGCTACATCTCTATTTCGCTTGGTGTCTGACTCATCACGGGACTTACGTAGGATCCTTGTACACTTAAGGCATCTTCACATGTTGAAAATAAGTAATGTGCTCAATAATAATTCTATAAAATAGGTCCTTATAGACCTCCTGAGCAGTTTTTGCAAATTCAAAGTTAATGAGTAGGTGTATACATAGTGCCATAATATATACTTTCCCACAGGACATATATAAGAATCTTCTGGGATCAGCACTGACATCACACAACGCACAATATACATAACAACCGTCGACATTTCCTTGATCTGAGGACTTGGATGTAAGCAAAAATTAAAAGCTCTTCGTATTGCCCATTTTCTTAGTTCACTTCGTTGAAATACAGAAATCCTTTCTGGGAAAATAAATAAATAAATTATTTATTTTTATGAGAACAAAACTTATAAGCTTTGTATTACTGCTTTGGTCACACTTTTTCCCTAAGATAATTAACAGATTCCTACTCAGTGGCACAACATAAATAACATCAGTTTAAACTCCAACAAGAAAATCAATGATTGGGTTGATAAAAAGAATGGAAGATTTTCAAAGCATAATATTAGGATAGGAGTGGCCAAACTGCGCCTCGCAACCGCATGCGGCTCTCTCAGGTTCGAAGTGTGGCTCACAACTTCCTGGTAAGCATGCTCAGGTAAGAAAGAAAAAAAGGTATAAAATAAGACAGCTTGCGTTATGGCAGCCTTGTTCCAACATGCCTATACTGCTATGAGGCACTTTTTTTCAACAATGGAGTAGGTAAAATTAGAATAGCATGCGACCTTGACGTACAAAAACCTAGCTGAACTGCTAGGTTTTTGTGCACCCTCTTCCGGCATTGCTGGAACCTGTCTGCCAATAATAGTATAATCACAACTTTTCAGGCAAACACTGAACTTTGTGCTTGTGCAGTAATCCATCTGGATGTCCTTTTCAAACGCCCAAAGAAGTGTAAGCAATCTAATGCAATTTTAGTATCATTTGCGCTTTGTGTTTTGTTCTTCGATTGTTCGGTATACTTCGTTTAACCTTATCATCTTTATAATAACTACAAAAACTAGACTGTTAGCAAAAATAACACGCCCAGACGCGTGTAAACCGTTGTCCCATAGCGGACACGTCGAAACGTGTTCGTTTTACACGAGGCCATCTGTGTTTTTCGTCTACACATGAAGTGCTGTGTAAACTTAACACGCTACACCGTGTCTGCCTTCCGCAAAAACGTTTCGAGCGTGTTCCTTATGAAACATGGCGGCCAGCGGCCGAGAACAGGCGAGAGACGAGCCCAGCGAGCCGCGCGCGTTTCGGCCGAACTGAAAGCACACAGGGCGCGTTAGTTCTCGTTCGGTATCTTTTATACACAGTAAAGTCTCCAAGCGGCGGACGTAGCTACTTGCAAAGGTACGTACGTGCGTTGTCGGCGGTCGGCGGCGTCGGTAGCTTCAACGAGCCGCTAGACAAAGAAAAAAAAAACGAATGCCGAACTCACATGGATAAATAACTTCAGCAAACTATTTAGAATCGGGCGGTACCTTGCGCCACCTATCGAGATTTCTAGCAGCCTGTTTAAAAAAAAAAAAAGACGAGCCTGTTAACACAGCGAACGACCACGACTACACAGCAACCCTACATACAACGCAGGCAACACCAGGAATACGTACTACAAAGCACCAACATGTACACAATCACAACGACGACACTACGCCCGACACTTCCTTTTTTTTTTTTTCTTTATTGCCGGACACGGACAGTACACAGTAACTAAAGTCACAGACAGTACGCATACAAGAGGTAATGCTAAAATTGCCAGCCGGCTTGCGGCTAGCAGTGCTGGGTTAAAATTTGCTCATGTTCACCAGCTTTTCAATGCAAGGAAGCCACTCAGGCGCGCATTTCTGAGCCTTATGAACTTCAATAAATGAAATAATACTTTCACGGAAATACTCCTTAGCTTCACGCATATCACGGTCTGCATGGCGGACAGCCATCCGAGACCTCCAGATACCATGCAGGCCCAGCAACATAACAAGATCGAATGGGGCGCCACCCTCGTTTTCTACCGGCAGGTACCTAATCCCGTGAGAGTCAAGTGGAAAGTCTTTCTTCAAGGTGCGCTGTAGGACATCCCAAAGAAAGACGCCATCCCAACACTCCAAGAAGACGTGTTCAATAGTCTCTGGTTTTTTACATAGGAAACAATGAACACCCCACGGGACAAACAAGCCCCTCTCTTCCATCCACGTTTTAACCGGTAATGTACCGGTATGCAATTTAAAGAAAAAAGACTTGACCCCGGGTGGAACTAACATCTTTTTCACACGTTTCAAGACGTCCTGTCCTGGGCCTGTAGAGTACATGGTCCTGTACAATGGAACAGGAAAAACAGCATCGCAAACATCCTTATACAACCGCTTACGGGGTACTACACTCAAATATTCCAAAGAGAAACGGGCCGCCAAAAAGCGGCATGATGCGACTACCTCTTTGAGGTACCCATGAATACCGCCGGGCACACTGGACGAGGAAACAACAAACTCAGGCAAACATCGACCTAATCTTACTTGACAAACCGTACGCAAAAACGGATCACTAACATCGCGAAAATAATAGTAACGGTTTACTAATTGGCGCAAAACAGGTGCGATAAGCCTAGTCCTCCCTCGCGAACTCTTCGGAAAAGGTTCATTCTGCTTGTTCGCTCCCAAGACGAGCCCCAGATGAACACCGCAAAAACACGATGCAGTTTCTGTACGTTAACACGCGAACAGTGTAACACCTGCAAAACGTACCACAGTTTACTCACAAGAAATAAATTGCAAACTGTGGCACGCGCAAACATCGAAAACCCATTACCCCTCCATTTTTCGGCTTTCTCGCGAAGGACTACTGATTGACTGCGCCAATATTCCTCACTCACACGATAATACTCAAGGGGCACCCCTAAGTACTTTACAGGAGTGGTGACCCATTTAACATTGGCAAACGCACTTGGGGTAACACTCCACTCTCCATGCCAGAAGCCCAGACATTTATGCCAGTTGACCGCACTACCACTTACACGACAAAAATGTTTGACTATATTGACAACACTGATGATACTCTCGTGATTCGTACAGAAAATAGCGATGTCGTCCGCGTACGCAAGGACACGAACTTCAGATGAAAATAATTTAAACCCACTCACAATGTCATGCCTTATAATACTTAAACAGAGCGATTCCAAATAAAGGCAAAAAAGAAGAGGTGACAAGGGACACCCTTGACGAACAGAGCGCTGCACTTGAATGCGCTTGCCTACGGAATGATTTATTACAAGGCGCGTTGTACAGCCGCTATAAGCCATGCGTACTCCTTCGCGGATCACTGACCCAATATTAACATGATCAAGAACAGCCAATAACACGTCGTGCGGTACCCGATCAAACGCTTTCTCTAGATCTATTTGTAGCATTGCCACGCCACTCTGCATGGCGTCGCAACACTCCAACACACTCCGTGCTTTATGAATATTCGTTAAGATAGTCCTACCTTTAATACCGCATGTTTGGTGGGGGCCAACTATTTCCGTAATTACAGTCTGTAACCGCCTGGCCAGTATCTTCATAAGTATTTTATAATCCACATTAGTTAAACTGATAGGTCTATACGAAGTTACCTGTCGCAGTTTGACAGGGTCTTCAGTTTTCGGGATTAAAATGGTGTGGGACGACAAGAAGGATGGAGGTAGGACACCTAGTTCGAAAGCCTCATTGAAGACCTTAGCCAGAACTATTGAAAGCTCATGCTTCAGCGCCTTATAAAAGGCAGCGCTGAGCCCGTCTGGCCCAGGGGACTTTCCCGGGTTCAGGGCTTCAATAGCAAACAAAACGTCCTCGGCCGTGATGGTCGCTTCCAAAACCTCTTTTGTTGCGTTGTCTAACCGCGGCAGTAAAGGCAAAAAGTCACGCTTAAAGCTATCCACATCGACTGGACTCGCCGCGAATAGGGTACAGTAATAATCAAAAAAGGCGCGCTCGATTTCCACCCTGTCGCTCGTGACTGCACCGTCACATTCGACCTCAGTTATCTCATTACGACGAGCGTATCTTTTTTCCATGCCCAGTGCTCGTTTAGTCGGCGCCTCCCCCGTTATGAACCGTTCCGCTCTCGCCCTGACAAGTGCGCCACGATAACGCTCTTTATCTAAAATCTCCAGTTTTTCCTTCACAGAACAAATGTCGTCTTTACATGCTCCCGGCATTCTGCATTCCTCTTTGACCAACATTTCCAAGTTCAAACGCAACACTTTTTCAATTCTTTTTTCTTCATTTTTAATTATACTAGCTCGTTCTAATGCCTTCATCTTTATCTCCTGCTTGAAATG